CTCTTTTGTGAATTCATTCAGAAGTTTATCCCTATCTTCTTTTAGCTCTTTGATTTGTTTGTTCATGTGTTCTTTAAATTCATTGACTTCCTTGGTCATGTTTATGAGTGTTCTTTTAAATCCAGTGTCTTGGGTTATCTCTAGGGGTTCTCCTTCTAGAACTCTTCTACAGGATTGGTGGAGTTTGGTGGGGACATAGTGGTTGGCTTTCCATTTTATTATTCTTTTGTTGTGATTTTGGCATATGAATTTCTTTTGTTGTTTATGATTCCGATATGAGATTTATGCTAAAGTATGCTTCTGTTTGTATTATGCAGGTGCCTAGATCCTTTCTTCATTGGTTATGTAAAGCTGGTTGGTATAGGGTTCAGGCTCTCTCAGGTTTAATTTGGAGGGAACTGATGGATTCAGATCAGCTATTCAGGAGTACCCACAGAAGCCCAATTCAGGTTCCAGTCAGGTACACTCGGGCTTCCTTCACCACATGGAGGTAGGATCTAGGCTCTCTCAGGCAGTCCCCTGCATTCCCCTGCATTCTCAGTCTCCATGCAAGAGGGAGGCCAGAGGGAGGCCAGAACTGGGCACTCTCTGGTAGTCTGCTGAAATCAGAGCTGCTACACCAATGGAGGTTGAAACCCACACTCTCAGGCTGTCTACTAAGATCTCAGCCTTAGCCTACCAAAGCCAGATCTGCCCTGGGGCCTTGGGAAGGGCCTCACAAAATCCCAGGTAGGGAAATCTGTATGGCGCAATTAAGGGAAGCTCACCACCACATGGAGGCAGGATTGGGGGCTCTCAGGTAGCTCTCCTCTGTTCCCAGGCCCTTTGCCTGAGGGAGGCCAGAGGGAGGCTAGAACTCAGCACTCTCTGGCAGTCTGCTGAGAGCCTAACATATTCTTTTAAATGAATTTTATACTCACTGTCAAGCTAACTCCTTGCAAAAAAAAAAAAAAACATAGTAGGATTTTAATTCAAATGCCAACAAGAAAAACAACATAAAAGCAAAAAGACTAGAAAGAAGAAAATGAAACTATTAGCATTTACAGATTATATGAGTATTTACATAGCAAACACCAAAAATCTAAACTACTTGATATAATGGAAGAGTTGAATAGAACAGTTAGATTTCAGATCAACAAGCCAAGTCATTTCTTCAAGAAAAGGGAATTTTCTCTAAGAAAAGGGAATCTACTATGACTAGCCTCCTTCCTGAGCATGAACGTGACATGGAGAAAAAAACTTCATGCTTTGGTAGATAACACTCCACAACCACCACAGATCTTTTACTGTGGCCTAGGTGCCGTGTATAAATAAGTCGACAGCAGTGCTTGGAACTCTGCCATCGTACTGGGAGGGCTTTTATCCAGCAAAGAGGCAGTGACATCAAGAGTCACACCATTTCTGTTTGAAAGAAGGAGTTACTGATCATTGGTTCTGATGTACTAGTAGGCATCCCAATTAAACTAACGACCATTCTTCAGAGTAAAAAGCCATAATCTCATTTATCTGAGTTTTGGTATAAATTCCTTTCCTTCATAAAAATTTAGTTCAGATATGGTACATACCTGAACATGAGTGTAATTCCAGTGTTTTGGAGACTAAGGGAGGAGAATCACAAGTTTGAGGCCAGGCTGGATACACAGGGAGACCCTGTCTCAAAAAAGTAATAATAATCTTAAGAGAAGTCAAGAGAGGAGAGTAGAGAAGGGGCAGAGTCAGACCAAAGGAAACCCGAAAGTATCATACTAAGGATGCTTAACTGTTCTCTCGAGTCTAAGCAAAGGGAACCACTCAGGCTTTCACATCCAGAAAGCACCAGGATATACCTCAATGTTGCATGAACTGCTCCCAAAAGTTAAAAATGTTACTTATTATGATTACTTCATGGCAATTTTGTGACTTTGGTCATGTTATACCATTTATCTTTACCTCAATTCTGCATCTATAAAGTGGGAATAAACACTATCTATCCCATAAAAATAAAATAAATCTGTGCTACAAATGCATCCTGCAGTGTAGTCCCGACTCTTTCAATGGTAAGAAGAACCCAGAAAGTGCAGAGAAGCAGGTATCCAGAAGAGGGCAGAGAGGAAGGTGTCCAGTGGCTTCTCCTTACTTTGAGTTTCTGAGCTTCTCCCCGTACTTTCAGCAACTCAGTAATAGAGTCTACAAAACCCTGGTAGTGAAAGTTGCACATTTTCTCAATCTCTCGGTCGTGATTGCGGATGCGAGATTCTAGCTTCTCCATGAATCGACCATGCTCCTCACCATCATAGACAGACCTTAAAAAAGAAAACATTATGAGAAGAAAGAAACATAAACCCAGAAGAATGTCCATAAACTAAACAATCAGGATGCATGAACCACCAAGTAAGCCAGCTGTATTAATACTGCCCCAATGTTAAAGGAGTGTTTTTATAGGAAAAATTTAAAAATTTACTTTCTAATTCACTTAAAAATACATCAGAGTATTCAACATAAAACTGTCATCCCATAGTGAAAGGAGTGAGTGAGTGAGTGAGTGAGTGAGTGAGTGAGTGAGTGAGTAAGTGAGTGAGTTAGTGAGTTAATTAGCTAGTTATCTGTTTGTTTGTTTGTTTGTTTGTTTGTCTGTTTTGGTCTTTTTAAGACAGGGTCTTCCTGTAGCCCCAGCTGGCCTGGAACTTGCTATGTAGACAGGCTGGCCTCAAACTCAGAGAGATCCACCTGCCTCTGCCTCCCCAATGCTGGGACTAAGGGTGTGCTACCATGCCAGGCTAAGACTTTATTTTTAAGCCTCTTCCTCCCATCTCAAGGATTTGATTCTCAAGCAAGTTAAGATTATTCTCATGTCTTTAAGCAATCTCTTCATCATTGCCCATGGTTTGTTCTCTGTTTCTTCCTACATTCCTCCTGAACTAGATTATAAACTCAAGGTCAAGAACTTTCTCTTATTCACAGACTCAGAGGCAGTAAGTAAATACACATTGACTAATGAACAGCTAGCGCTTACAATGCTTCAACAATCACACATTTGATTTCTGTCCTTGATTTCTGAGTCTGGACTCGTTTGTGGTTCCAGATCATCACCCTGCATCCTCTGGGTGAGAAAGTTCGTTTTCTTCAGCAAGTCAGTTTCACACACACACACACACACACACACACACACACACACACCCCTTCCAGTAAAAATTCTCAACACTGACTTCAGAAAAGGCACAACAATCAAGATTCATTCCCCTCCCTGGGGAAGAAAAGAAGATGATCAAATAAATTATAAACAATTCTCCAAGTGGTTGATCTTGCTGAAAGAAGTATCTGAGGTATACAAAACAGAAGTCACTACTGACATTTCAACAAGTCTCAAGTTTAACTCTTCTCCTTTCAAAGGAACAGAAAGGAGTCTGCCAGGTAAAGGCACTCATATTCCTTGCCATGTGGAAAACAGGAAGAATCACTCAAAACTCTTTAAAAGTTAAAAGACATTACCAAATTCAGGAGCCAGGTGTGGGGGCACAAACCTGTAATTCCAGCATTTGGGGAGGTGGGATGAGGAATTCAAGACCAGCCTCAACTAAATACTGTGAGGCCAGCCTAAATTAAATAAGGTCTGCTTACAGCCACTTGTGAAAGAGATGTACTCTTGCTCTGGCGTGTGTTACTGAATATGTTAAAGTTGTAATGAAATGCTTCTTCTAATCATATAGTTATTAAAAAATAAAAAAAAAGAAAATAAGGAAAGAAACTCAGAACTTCCAGTAATTTAGATTGATAATGCCTTGCTGAACTTCCTATTTAAAAAAAAAACTAAACTAAAATCAAAGACCAAAGGAAGGAAATGTAAAATGTAGCTGTCTGATTGTGAGGCTTTGGTCTTAGCCATGTAATTAGCTACATATCTGGCCAATTCAGGTAATCTTTCTGACTCTTAGAGCGTTCTCATTTACAAAAATCAGAAGCAATCAATTACACTTCCCTGAAGTACTAGCTTAAAGTTCCGCAATTCACCTCTACTGACAAACTCGGTCACAATGTAAAAGAGCAACACATTTTGAGACGAGTGTACAAGGTGATAGTTCTAATTTCAGTACCCTACTGTTTCTTTTTAGAATGTTTATTATTCTAATACTTTCTTGAACTGTGATGTAGAATAATTTCAAAGGTTTAATTATTTAAAACAAAAATAGAATAGGAGTTGGTTGAGGTGATTGAGGCAGGGTGATTATTTGAGGCAAACCTGGGTTACACAGTGAATACCCAGTCAGCCAGAGGTATACCAAGACCCTAATCTCAAAGAAAAAAAAATAGAGTTTATATCTAAAACACACATATTTAAATAAAAGAATGTGGACAATGTTTAGTAGACCTTTGTTCCATGGAAAAGTTCAGGATCCGTGACTCCTAGGTTCAGTGTGGATTTGTTGTACACAAGTGTACACACTATACATATATATATATGCATGTGTATCTCCTTTTCATATACTATGCATCCTTTTCATTTTGCATATTTTTATATATTCATTATATATATACATATATGTGATATATAGAATAGGATACATAGCTTCCATCTAGTTATCATATAGGTTAAAACATACTGATTTGGTCTCTCCCCCTATCCTTGGACCCTGGCCTGCTCCTGCTCTTTCCACTCCAGATCTCTGGACTACCCTCTTCATACCTGCCCGCTGTATCTTGATCCTCTGCACTCAGACCAGTTCAATTCTCCAACCTAGTTTGATAGACCCTCCACAAGCTGACCCCACCCCCACTTTGCCCCTGGCCTCCAGGTCTGCCTGCCACAAACATGCCTACCACCCTTGTAAGTCAGATCCCAACCACTGCATCTTGATTCTCCTGCAGCCTGAGCAGCTCCACTCTCTCCCTACCCTGTCTCCCTTCTAGCCTTGGGCCAAGGCTCACTCCTGCTTGCCTACCTCAGATTTCTGGACTAGCTTCCTAACTCAGACTAGCTTAATCCTCTAGCATAGTGTGTTAGATCCTCCACAGGCTGACCCCACCCCTACCTTGCCCCTGTCGGCCTGAATCTGCCTGCCACAGACACGCCAACGCCTCGCCTCCTAAGTCAGATTCTGCCCACTGTGTCTTGTTTCCTCTGCAGCCTGAGCAGCTCCTCTCTCTCTCTCTGTACTCAGCCCTCCTTCCAGCCTTGGGTCCAGGCTAGCTCCTGCTCTTTCTGCCCCAGATCTCTGAACTGCCCTCTTGGTCCAGACCTGGCCACTGCATCCTGATCCCTTGAACACAGACTAGGTCAATTCTTCAGCTTCATTTGTTAGATCCTCTACAGGCTGTCCACACCCACATCTTGGCCTTGGCCCCCTTTCCTAATCTGCCTACCAAAGACATGCCTACTACCCAGACCAGCCTACTACCCTGCAAGAGCCTGAAGCACATACCAACTAACTTTTCATACCTGAGCAAAAAACAACCAAGATACATCAACAATAACAAACATCAACTAACAAAGGAAGAATAGAATTTCCTATGGACACACAACCAACAAAAGACATCCATATGCCTAAACAGGAATTCAAAAACGCAAATAATAGGAAAAACAGAGAATATGTCCCCAACAAAACCCACCAGACCTACAAAAGTGTACTACAATGAGAATTACCCTGAGGAACCCCCACTACAACAGACACATGATCAAAGAACACAAAGAACTCAAAAAGGAAAGGCATAAACTTCTGACAGAAGCCCAAGAAAACAAAAATATGCAGCTGAATGAAATAACAAAAATAATTCAGGACTTGAAAAGTGAATTTATAAAGGAGATATAAAAATAGTGAAGAAAAACCCAACTGAAATAAAGATGGAATTGAAAAACTCAGTAAGCAAAAGACAGGAGAAAGCCTCACAAGCAGAATGAATGAAATGGAAAACAGAATACAAAGACTGAATGACAAAGTTGAAGCAAAGTCCTCAAGCAAAGACTACAAAAAATTTTTAAACACACAGGAGCTAGGTGTGGTGGTGCATGCCTTGAATTCCAGCACGCAGGAGACCCACAGAGAATACTTGAGGCAATACAAAGGACCAAAGATAGGAATGACTATAGCCAAGAGGTTACAGAAAGAAAACAAAGAAGACAAGTATAGCATACATCACTCATCAAAGAAGCTTTTTTTGCAACAGATGGAGGCTATTACACAGTTCTACAACTGGTCACACACGAAGAATATATGTCTGAGAGATGTCCAGCACTAATGACACATCTACAATGGAATCTCTACATCTAAGGCTCATGGAACATAGTGGAACAGGAGGTGGAGAGAATACTAATACATCCCTCAACTCTCACGGGCAAAGCTTCCTCATACAAATGTGATGCACACAGAAGGCCATAATTGGCTAAGTTTTAAAGAACGAGAGACTGCAGAGTGTGTGTGCCTCGATAAGACTCCTATATTAAACCTCACTCACCCATGGCTGAGGGACCATTTCGGAAGAGGAGGTGGAAAGATTTTTAAGAGCCAGGGTTGGTACATGAACATAAGCAAACAGAGGCTTTCAGGTCAATGGGAACTTGCTCATATGAATTTGCAACAATGATGAGAGCATGCACCAGACTCTTGCTGACTCAGTCAGACATTTCCCAGCACAGAATGAGGGAAATGAGGCCCCAACTCTACCCAAAGAATTATTGGCAAATAATTACTGCTACATAAGGGAGAGTATATCTCCTTTCAGGGAGTGACTCTACATAGGCTGACTAGACTCCAGTAAATGAATTTGCACCATGGAACATCTGGGTACAAATGCTTTGCTGGATAGGACTTAACATATATGACAGAATTGATGAAATCCAGTGGTGTGGGGGGGAGGGGGGTTATGGAGGGTGCAGATGGGGGAGGGAGGTCTAAATTTGATTAAGATCTATTATATGAAACGCACAAAACTCAATAAAAATATTTTTGAAAAAATGTTTAAAAAGCATGCTGATTAGCCAGGCATGGTGGCGCACACCTGTAGTCCTAGCAGAGGCAGGTGGATCTCTGTGAGTTCAAGGCCAGCCTGGTCTACATAGTGAGTTTCAGGACAGCTAGGGCTACAGGGAGACCCTGCTTCAAAAAGACAAAAAAAAAAAAAAGCATACTGATTAATCTGTAATTACAAACTGCCTACAACAGGAAAAAGCCAATGTGAACTTTACTTTACAGTTCACACTGAATAGCATTTCAAGTATATTTCAGCATAACTTGACAGCCAACAGATCTATGAGATACTAAAGACAAAAATAAGAGGCTAAGGCTGAGATACTAGCAGAAAGTCTCAGAGG